TGACCATGGCAGGGGAGTTAGAACTAGATGATCTTTAAGGTCCCTTCCAACCCAAACTTAGATCATGTTGCTCAGAACCCCATCCAGCCTGACCTTTAATGTTTCTAGGGACAGGGCATCTACAAGCTCTCTGGGCAATCTTGTGCCAGTATTTCACCACCCTCATGAAAAAAATTTCTTCATTATATCTAGTCTGGATCTACCCTCCTTTACTTTAAAACAATTACCCCTTGTTCTATCACTACAGGCCCTACTAAAAAGTCTCTTCCCATCTCTTCTTTTGGTTATATTTCACTAACAATTGTAATTAACTGGTTCTTAGTAACTGAAGTGCAAGTTATTTACACTCCAGCCAGCCTCTCTCAAATTAGTCCCACTTGACTGACAGCAACTACACCACATGAGTTAAGCTACTAGAGCTGTGGATTATTGATAAAGTGGTGCCCTGGGCAATTAATGAACTTAATCAAGTAGTAGGAAACACCTCTAAGTGTGACAATCAAATAGAGCTGAAAGATCTGCCAATCCTACTGAGAAAAGTGCTATACTGGAACAAAAACTAATTGCAAAGAATGGCGAGATTTAGCCTTTAGAAGCCTCCTTACCACCCAGAAAGGCTTGAGTTCCACTGGCCTAGTGAATTGTTTTTAAGCAGCATGTTTCTTAAGTGACAGATAGCAAAATGCTGCTTATAACAAACTTTTCCCCCTACCGCTGCCCTCACTTCCCCACTGATGTAAGTGATCCTATACCTGCTACCGTCAGCATCTTACTACACAGTAGGCTGCCTGTGTTTACATTTAGCCTATACACAGGGCTAAATTATAACAGTTGCTCTATCACCTGACAACCACTCACCAGCCAGGGAGGAGAAACAGGAAAAAGGAAAGCAGACCTGCAGGTAGAAGTACAACAGATTTAATAAAACACCAGCAATACCAATAGAGATAGACAGAGTTAAACTTAGCCAAATAAACACACAGCTATCACAATCAACCAAAGAGCAGCTCTTGGGAGAAGCCATAGGAACTACCAGAGGAACCCCACAAGAGCTCGCTCTCCTCAGTAAATCTCCCCCCTTTATAATGACCATGACATTATGGTATGGGCTACACCTGTAGTTAACTCAGGTCAGCTGCCCTGGCTGACTTGAAAATGCTAATGGCCTGCCTAGCATAGCTGGCCTATGATTCTGTCCCAGCCAAACCAGGACAGTCTGTCACATGTCTTAATTTAAGTTTCAAAATCTCATTTGTCCTGCCTGAAACAGCTAGCTCACTTTCCCTTCTTTCTGTGGTAATTAGCATAAACTCATGCCCACAGCAATAAGAGTAACATGACACAGTACAAATGTCATTTGGCAGCCAGCCTGTCTCCCTCCACTGGGTTTTACTCTGGGATAGCCTCAGATTTAGCAGCAGAACGATATATATAAGGCCACCCAACAGACTAGAGACTTCCATGGTGGTTTTTTTCAACTTTGAACTTCTTTACTGCCAAGGCAGGCCACTTCAGCTCTGCAGCATAGCTGAGGTTATCAGTGTGACAGCCAATCTGCACCTGGTGGGGAACAACAGTCACTGAAAGGCACTGCAACTTGGACAGGATCGGAAAGTTCCACTCCAAACTCGGTGTGTTCTGTAGCTACCATAGGCAACAGACACTCTTGTCTCAGCAGGGAAAGGCTATACTGCCATATGGAACATTATTCCTCACCTTGGCATAGACATCAATCAGGTGAAACTAGCACAAAAGAGTTCAAGGGCAGACTTAAGCCCTACGAAGAAGAAAATGGAAATGCTGGATCAGTTGCTAAAGAAAAGCAGAATTCTCTTTTACAGCTCTGTTCAAAAGAAGGGATTTCACTGGTTTTGAAGTGTCCTGGTTTGGCTGGGACAGAATCATAGGCCAGCTGTGCTAGGCAGGCCATTAGCATTTTCAAGTCAGCCAGGGAAGCTGGCCTGAGTTAACTAGAGGTGTAGCGCATCCCACAATGTCATGGTCATTATAAAGGGGGAAGATTTACTAAGGAGAGAGAATTTCTCCTGAGGTTCCTCTGGCTTCTCCTGAGAACTGGATGTGTTCCTGTATGATCTAATCTAAGTGGTCCTGCTCTGGCAGGGGGGCTAGACTAGGTGATCTTTTTGAGGTCCCTTCAAACCCCTAACATTCTGTGACTGTTCTCTGGTCAATTGTGATGACTGGTTATTCATTTAGCTAAGTATATCTCTGTTGGTATTGGTGGTGTTTTTGTTAAATCTGTTTCACTTCTACCCATAGGTCTGGTCTCCTTCTTCCTGATTCCCTGGCTGGCAGGGGGTTGTCAGGTGATAGAGTGACTCTCACAGTTTAGCCCTACGTACAGGCTAAACATAGACAGGAAGAAATTTTGGAGTTGGCTGGCCCCAGTTCTAGCACCCTCACCTCTCATCACAGCTACCATAGCTGTGCTGCTATAAATGAATAGGTGAAAAGCAGAGCATAAGCAAAGCTTACCCTGATATGAAATGAATGAGGAGAATGGAAGCTGGGGAAGGGGATTACATCCCCAATAATAATTCATCTGATTTCCATGCACTCTCTGAAACACTAATGTCCACATATGCCAACCATCAGTGACTGAAGATATGGCAGACTAGTTCTGCCCAAAATCTTGTTCTATTGTCCCTTTAAAGAGGAAAAAACAACTCACCCTGCTATGGGATAATACTGTTTGGATAATTACCTCTGCTGTAGTGTTTAACCCTTTTCACTTATGATTATGTAGGGGCTGGTTTCAGAGTCAAGATATGAACCCCACAATTTTTTTTTTTTTTTATAGTGTGGGTGTTTGTCCTGATGGCAAAGATAATGAAACTGGAAAGAAAACAGGTTGGAGGCCCTGAAATGAGGCAGGATGACAGCAGGAGACAGCAAGGTGCGGGCAAGTAAGATATTTTTATAGTGGGCAGAAATATCTATCAGTCTCCTCCACAGAGACAACATTCAACCTTATTATTTCTCATCCTATCCACTGTCAATACAGGGATTATTCCTTTAATCTTGAAAGCAACAATATAGATTTTTGTCTTGTTTGACCACTGCCTTCTCTAGGGGAATGGAGAAGGGCACAGAGGATGTAGGAGACCGACATGATATGGCCACAGTATGGAGACGATGAAAACCAGAGGTGTGTCCATTACAGCTGCATGGGGCAGTCATTTTTCAGGACAGAAGTGAGAGAGTATACTTGAGAAATGTAGAAAGAGGTTTATGATAGGAGAAACTTGGGGAGAAATTGTTTGTGATTCATGTCTCATAAAGGACAAGACAAACCTCAAAGAAATGAGAATGGAAGCAAGGAAAGTTCTTCTGACTGTAATGAGAAACAAAACCAAATGTTCACCTCCAGGTTAGCTGCAACAGCAGTAGCAGGAAAATGCAGAGTGGCTATTCTTCTGGGCTGAATAGTGCTTCTCCATGCTTCTGGACCTTAGAAAGAACCACAGGTATTATCAACATAGAAACACATAAGTCCTGTGATAGTCTTCAAGTTACAGATAAAATTCAACAGCAGCTTCAATTCTAATTCTAATAAATCAGTTTTCTGAAGCTTTCACCTTTGTGCTGAATCCTTCCCCATCTGACCAACAGCTAATGCTGAACTGTCACAGAGGCACCCACATAACAAGCAGAACAGTCACTCAGAACCCCCCCTATGGACCTGAGCAAACCACAAGCACGGATGCCAGGCAGAGGCACTCACAAAACAGAACAGAGCAACTACTCCGAAGACAGGGATTTATTCCAACTAGAGTTAGGTAACACTCAGACAGAAAAAAATAAGGTTCAGATGTCAGTTGGGAATATATCACTACACAGCTGTCTTAAGAATTTCTAAGTTATCTAAACAGGCCTTTTAGGAAAACAATCCAAAATGTGCACTTGTTCACCCACAAAAGGGGGGGGAAATCTCTCACTCAAGGGTATGGTACCCAGAAACTATAATCATTCACCCAAAAGGGCAAGGGCTCACTCAAGCATATATCCAGCAGTATTCACTCACCAAAGATGGGGGGGTGAGGGCACTCAACCCCGTGGAGTTTCCTCAGGCAGTGTCCCAACCCAAGGGGAGAGTCCCTGACTGCAGAGCCGCTGCTCAGAGGAGGACCGACTCAAATCAGCTCTCTGGTGGGGACTCATTTACACCCAAGGTGAGTCTGGCCTGTGGTCATTTCGAATTAGCTAGCACCAGCAGAAGATGAGGTAAACCCTGTGAACATGTTTCCAATGGCCGAAAAGCCCCCATCTTCATGAGTTTTGCCTAGTCTCCTGAAAGACCTGAGCATTACTGGGTCTTTAGCAGACCTAGTCGTTTTCAGGTCAGGGTGGGTGCACCTGCCACATGAATGTTTCTTGAAAACTTTGAATTCTTAATGATTATGAGGGAACTGAGAAAGTGCAAGGAAATTTCAAACTAAACTATCAATATAATCCTCCCTCACCCTCACATCATAAAAATTAGTTCAGTTGGATAAACTTGGTATCAAGGTGGTAAACTTGGTACCTTTGAGGTAAAACTTTATTTTAAAAAAAAAAACAACCAACAAACATCAGAAGCGATGTTTGTTTCTGAAAAGAATGCAGGACAATCTCCAAAAGTGACTTGTGATTTTATATGTCCAACTAGAAACACTCCATAATGGTGTGGGGTTTTTTATTTTCAGAGAAGCTCTCCTCAAGCAAGACAAACCACACTCCATGCAATGACATCTTCAGGTGAAATGTCATTGCACTTGAATTTGCAACTGAATTTGACAAAGAGCAATAGTGGTACTTCACATCGACCAACAAGTTAAAGCACTTCCTCTAGAAGTATTTATGGGCCATGTGCCTGGGCAGCTCCCCAATTGCATAACCGAAAATTCATTCATCATCTGACTAAAACTGTACCCAACAGAAAATCAAATGATCAATATGCCAGCATCCATCATAAGACCAAGTTATTTCTGATTACATGGTGAGCATGCAATCCCAGCAGAAAGCTGAGGCAGGAAGGAAGCGAAGAGATTTACACTATTATATTTATAGATTACTCTGGTCAGACTGATTCCATTCCACAGTTTGGGTGCTGCTGAGGAAAGAAATAGAAAAATATCCCCTACCTTAATTTCTTCCATCAATATGAACAGTTACAGTTGGGGATGTAGTTAATTTCTGGAAGATTTTTGTTGGGAGCACATGTTTGGTTTTGTGCACCAGGGAAGTTGTCATAGAGCTCTGCAGCTATGTGGATTAAAACTGTTTCCTCAGAGCTGCCTTTGGGCTGTCAGCATTGACATCAGGAAGCCTCTGGGAAAGCACTAGCTCAGTCATCTCCTCCTGAAGAAAGCAGATAGCTAGGGAGGTCTGAGCTGGAATCCTCAGAAACACTATTGAGTCCCGTGCTAATTTCTTGAGCCAGGAGGAATATGGTGGCTTTAGAGCTTTTCTTGAGGTTTTGCCAAAACTGGGAGAGTGCCTTGCAAAAGTGGTACTGTGAGAAAGTCTCATCAGGATGTAAGACTGGCTGACTTGGTGCTAGTATGCTATCTCCTAAGATACCAACCCCAAACTTTTGCAGTATTTTGTTCCCAGGGAAAACCCAGCGATAGCATTCTCAATAGCATTGCCTGCAGCCCAGGACTATGTCTGTCCTCCAAACAGCAGACCACTGCCCTTTAAACAATGCCTTAATTTAAGTTTCAAGGTCTCACTTGTCCTGCCTAAAACTCATGAATCTTCTCCAACTCCTCATCACTGTAGGCTTTGCGGCGGTATACGCTCAGGTTGTCTCAAGATTTGTTAGCTTGCAAGGTATCATCTCCTGGCTTAGGAGAGTGAAAAAGTCCTGCAGATTACCAGCAATACCAACTTGTCCTCTCTTCCCAGCACCAAGCCAACTAATGGCATTGAGGATAAAGGTTTTCATTGCTAATGTTTGGAAAAAGTTTTCACGAATGAGAACCACGACATGGCCCCTGCCATAGTGTGCAGCTGCAGGGAATGCCTGATGGTGGTCATTCACAGCAATGGGAGATGCTAATGTACCATGGATGAGTAGATGGGAGGGGGACACTACTATCTTCTATGTTGAATTTGGCCATTCCTTTCAAAAGAACTTCTGAATTTTTTTTTTTTTTGCATCCAGTCCATGTCTGGAAAACCAAAAGAAATCCTTGTCATCCAGATCGATTTATAAGTGCTGAAAGCTGTACTTGTCTTTGCCCTGTTAGTAGTGATAGAGTCATGACTTCCTATTAGCACTCCTTGTTTCAAGAAGTTATCAAGACAAATATATTAATCACTATCAAAAGAAACTTGAAAGTTAACCCAACAGGTATCACTGAAGTGGCAGCAATATTAAAATTACAGGATCACCAGCTTTCCTTAAGCATGGTATAAATTAAATTCCAGGCAAGAATGGTGTGTGCCTATGATTCATGCTAGATTTTTCTGCAATGGGCTAAGATATTACCACTCACAGAGGGTGTCTCTATCCTTCACAAGAAGAAGCTATTGTCCTTAGGACATAATAGATCCATAAGAGATCAGACAAGCAGTTCTTAATTGTTTTCAGTGCAAAGGCAGACATATACTTCAAAACATTCTCAGCTATGGCTTCAACTAATTAAACTCATTTTGCTTTCAGGAAGACTAGGGGTTCTAACATTCTTTCTTCTAACAGTTCAGCTTCAAGGTAGCAACCTCCATTCATAGAGCAAACAGGAACCAGGTAGTAAAATGTTAAAACTGTGATGATTGTTTGCAAAGTTGTCATCTGCTCTCTTGCTAGTCTCTTTACCACAGGGTTCAGTCTAAACTTTAGACTCCATTGCCTGCCTGCCTCTGCATCCTGGGAAATAAGAATAATTTTCTCTATCATAACGATGATTAAACACTGAACAGGTGCCAAGACAGGTTGTGGAATCTCTGTCTTCAGTACCTGAGTAGACAGAGTCCTGAACAACCTGCACTAGGTGGCCCTGCTTTGAGCAGACATTGGAGCAATTGACTTCCAGAGGTCCCTTCCAACCTCAACTATTCTATGATTCAGATTTCCATCAGCATGTTCTAAATGTATTGGCAGTGCACAACACCTGAAAAATTACTATGAAGACAATGGCTTATTGCCTCAGCAGAGCTGCCTCCTGAGCACGGCAAAGCTGAGTCTTGTTGTCAAGCCATGATCTGTTATCCTTGCCTGAACATAGCTCTGAGACAGAGATGAAGCTGTACTATACTCTTCCTTGTGTAGAAGTATGAGGTCTAATCATAGAGCTACAAATTCCCACCTAACTTGTGAGAAATTCTCTGAAGAATGATCATCACTTTCAGGGACTTGTGACAAGAAAGTGCCTAAAATCTAACAGTCTAAGGTCACCTGTTTAGTGGACAAAGGGAAGGCAGTGGATGTAGTTTTTCTGGATTTTAGTAAGGCTTTTGATACTGTCCCTCACAGCATCCTTCTGGACACACTGTCCAGCTGTGAGATGAGCAGGTTCATAGTGTGCTGGGTAAAGAACCGGCTGAAGGGCACGGCTCAAAGAGTTGTAGTGAATAGGGCTACACCTGGTTGGTGGCCAGTCACCAGCGGTGTTCCTCAGAGCTCAATCCTAGGGCCAGGTCTGTTCAATATTTTTGTCTATGATCTGGATGCAGGACTTGAATGCACCTTTAGCAACTTTGCTGTTGATATTAAACTGAGAGGTGCTGTTGACTCTCTGGAGGGACAAAAGGCCTTCCAGAGGGATCTGGATAGACTGAAGCACTGGGCAATCATCCGTGGCATGAAATAGAACAAGAACAAATGCCAGATTCTCCACCTGGCACAGAGTAACGAGAGACACAAGTATAGATTGGGAGGGGAGTGGCTGGAGAGCAGTCCTGCAGAGAGGGACCTGGGGGTGCTGGTCGACAGCAGGCTCAACAGGAGTCAGCAGCGTGCCCTGGCAGCCCAGAGGGCAAACGGCATCCTGGGGTGCATCAAACACAGCACAACCAGCCAGTCAGAAAAAGGTGATTATCCCCCTGTATTCAGCATTGGTGCAGCCTCACCTTGAGTACTGTGTGCACCTCATGATCTAAGGAGGATGTGAAGGTACTTAAATGTGTCCAGAGGAGGGCAACAAAGCTGGTGGAAGGGCTGGAAGGCAAGTCCTCTGAGGGGCATATGAGGATTCTGGGTTTGTCTAGTTTGGAGAAAAGGAGGCTGAGGGGCAACATCCTTGCTCTCTACAGCTTCCTGAGGAGGGGAAGTGGAGAGGGAGGTGCTGGTCTCCTCTCCCTGGGGTCGAGTGATAGGATGCATGGGGTTCAAAGCTGCATCAGGGGAGGTTCAGACTTGACATTTGGAAACATGTCTTTACCAAGAGGGTGGTCAAACACTGGAATAGGCTTCCTAGAGAGGTGGTCAATGCCCCTTCCCTGTCAATATTGAAGAGGTGTTGATAATTTGCTTTGACTTTTGGTCAGCCCTGAAGTGGTCAGGCAGTTGGACTAGATGATCCCTTCCAGCTGGAAGTATTCTATTCTATTCTATTCTATTCTATTCTATTCTATTCTATTCTATTCTATTCTATTCTATTTGCATTTCTATTCTATTCTATTCTATTCTATTCTATTCTATTTGCAGCACAGGGCAGGAAAGGATCACCTATGCCACTGTCTAGTTGCCTCCACTAACAGGCATCTACACAACACACAATCTAGTGGGGAATGCACAGCTAGGTCATGGACCCTGTGTGGACAGTACCCAAACCTCATGGATCCACACAATATCTACCCCATCCTACCCAAGACTTTGAAGTACACCCTGAAGTGCAGCAATATCCTGTAACAAAGCTAAGAACTCTGTTACAAATGCCTTAAAGTTTACACCATGCCACAGAATATTATCAGGAAAGAGAAAAGTCATCTTTTGTGTCCCAGGTCCTTCATCGGGAAGGATTTAAATACCTCAGGAAGTGGCTGCATAGCTGTGCTATTGACACAGTGGTGAAAAAAAGCTAAATGTGTCATAGCACTGCAGATCAGACCCAACCAAAAGTTTCTTCCTAAACTGTTGCACATTTTAATGTGGAGCACATGAGCCAAGCTTCTTGGTAGTTGTGTGAGCCAACACAGGCAGGATGCAGGAACAACCACAAACCATGGATGAAATGCAAAGAGTAAATTTATTCTCGTTACCTCGTGATCTGGGGGATCTCTGCAGCAGCACCCGGGCAGAGGCATGTAGGCAGGGATGCAGGCACTGCAGAGCTCAGTCCTGCTAACAAGCAAAAAGCTACCAGCCCTGCTGTTTTTCACCTGTTGTAACAGGGACTTTTCCAGGTGTATTTTCCCAGTGTGCTTTGATCTTTCCCACAGCAGGGCAGGAATCTCAAGTGTGTTTGATAAGGTGCCTTCGAGTCCATCACACGCCTACGTTAACTGAACACAGATGTTCTACTTGTCAAACACACAGAACTAAACAACAATTAGTGTAATATACGTGTTTTTCAACACCCCAGCTGCAAGTCAATTGAGTGTGTTTACTGTCCCCTTTGCCAATCTTCCATTATTCTCCCACAGTAGTTTCTCAATAACCTGTAGAAGCACCTTCAACTCCTGTACATCCATCTCTGTTCATGGTAATTTCTTTTGGGGGACAAGGTGAAGAGATCTTTTTTATTCCAGCAGGCTAATAGCAGAAAACCCAAGGCAGAATAAACACTATATACACTCTAAAGACAGTGCAAAAAAATGTTTAAATATGCACTGGGTGATCAGAGGAATCCTCAGCATTTCTTTGGACACTGAGAAAGTGTCAGTCTCTCCCTCACTGCCTGTGAAGTACACGCCAGCTACGCTGGTCACCTGGTTCCCAGGGAATTCAAACAACACCTTCTCCTTGCCATGTTGACTAGCCCAGTGCCAGGCTTGGCCTCCCATGAGCAGCCCTCCACCTCCCTTTACAAAGCCAACCAGGTCTTTCGCTTGCGTGCTGTCATAGGCGTCCATACAGTACACCCCCAGGGAGGGGCTAAGCTCTGCCCCAGCTTGTACTTTGGTGCCAGCTCTGAGCAGCAGCTGGGAGAGGGAATCCAAATGAGGATGGACCCCAACCAGGGCCTCGGGGGAAGGCCTGAGCCACTCCACAGCATTTCTGAGGAACTGGGAAAACTTGGAGTCCTTCAAGATTCCTTCATGGGAAACAACCACCGTCCGGCCCTTCCCATAACAAGATGTTGCAATTAGCACTTGCCCATTGGTGCTCACCAGCACTGGGAAGGCTTCAGCTCCATTGAGCAACAGTTCACATGGGTGATAGTTTGTTGTGAACTCAAATTAACTAACACAGCATAGGCTGCTGTGGAATCCATCTGATATACCTCTTATTGAAGAGTACTGAAAGAGATCATCTGTTATGGTTTAAGCCACCTCTCACCAGGTCTTTTATACTACATAGATGTCAGTCCCCAGTTACAGGGGTCAAGCGTTTCCTCTCAAATCACAGAGGTTTGGTAGGCGCCTGACTTACCCATGTCCCCTTCCACAGCCCTATGATAGCCGTGCCCCTCCCCTCTGAAACTGTTGCTATTTGACACATCCTTGAACCTCTCCTCAATGTGAGCATTCTGGGACATCTTGAAGCACGGCTAAAAATATACAGGTCTATTGACAGAGGTCTCTAAGTTTCTTCCTCTCTTCTACAATACTAACATAAATGAAATTGTTCTTATGTACTCCCACACTTTTCCTCCACTGAGCAGTTTAATCCATCGTGGAGCTCATGACCCTGTTACTTGTTTTTGAGGTGCTGTGGCAATTTCAGGGAGCTCTATTTCAAAAATTTTTTGGAAAATGCTTTTTTACGAGGTAGATTAAGATTAATCCCTTGGCTACACTTAATCTTTTGTGGGTTAATTTCCTCTGTTTTGCAGTTACATATGTATGTTTATTTCAAACCATGGTATATTCAAATCCACTATTTAATCCCACACTGGTCATAGGATTGCTTTTGGACTGGTCTAATCCTTGGAGTTGGGAGCTGGGTCCCAGTTTATATGTTGTACATCCTACATGTACCTTTTACATTCTGCAGAAGCAGCAGCAGCTTCTGGCTGATTTGGTGCCTGGCCTTGTACTTTCCCACTTAAGAAACAGCACCAGGCCATGCACCCCAGCTCTGTAGGTTTTAGGTACATTTTCAACCCATTACCATCAGCTGGACCGTATTCAATTTTGCCTGTTTATTCACAGCCAATTTGGTGAGGCCATAGCCCTAACCAATACCAAACATTCCACCTGCCAAGTCCTCTTGGTGATATTCAACACTGCTCTGCTATACATCTTGGTCATCCTGTTTATCTATGGGCCTCCAACTTCTTATGGGTCATCTCCAACCACATGTCAGCTTCCTATATGAAGGCTGGAGCATAGCCATAGTCTGTCTACATCAGTGCACACATCAGTTCTGCACCTAAACTCACAGACTTGCATTGTGTGCTCCTGATTATGGATCACAGGGTCACCAAACTTTGTATTTCAGTTTCATCTTGTGTAGACGTTCTTGACTTCACTGATTGAGAGGAGAAGAGTGATGTATCCAGTCCCATTGAATTCAACACCCAAGCAACTCACAAAGAAATAATCAAGGTGGTCAGTGTACTGACCTCAAAGTCAGTGATACTGAACCTCCTTAGGACCCAGAGGAAGAAATAGGTCCAAAGACCCAAGTAGCTGATGTACACGTTAGCCACATGAAGGAACCACATAATGGGAGAGTCCCAACCTGATGTTCTATCAACTTTTTACTTCCTGGGCTCTTATTCCACCCCCCCCCACACCTTTCACCCCAGATAGTTGCCATGCTGGACAAAGACAAGGCTTCTGGTTTGTAAGTACTTGTGCTCTCAGCCAGCCATTAATATTATTTTGCATTTTTCCCTTACCAAGGGCCTTTCAGTGTAAATAATTACCAGCTGTTCTTCCTATTCCATCCAGTCACAGAGCCTATCTAAATTATTGGCAATGCAGGAGTTAGTCCAGAGTAATTTTTATTGAAGAGGCAAATGCAGAAAGAAATGGCTATTGATTCATTTATGTAGTCCAGGGTTTCAGTATTGTCCCCTGCTTTTACCCCTTTTTCAGATAGTCCAAAAACAGAAGGTAGGCAAACATTGTGTACAAGAAAGATAATACCAGATACTTACGAATGCAGTTCATTTAATCCACTGTTGAAAAGAAGTCTCATTTAAGTAGTAGATTTTTGGATTACAGTTTCATGAAAGCCCACAGATTTTAAGCAATGTGAACTATGAAAAGATAGGTCATGTCACCCAAGCTGTACTATACTGTTTCTTTTCCAAAAAAGAACAGAGGGCATGTACCAGAATTAATACTTCGCAGAATTCTGTTTGTTTTGGAGGTTACGGTACTCAGCTGCTCACTGTTAGGAAAGGCAAATTAAGCCTGAAAACAATGCTCTAATTTGGTGTCATGATTACAGGGTAAGTAAGGCAGGTCCCTCAGAACAGTCCAAACATCTGCAGTCCCCTGTGGCCATTCTGTGGTGAACTCTTGCCAGTGTGCATGTTTCTGTCTTGCCCTGCACAGGCTTTAACCAGGCTACTGCTTGCACTTATTAACTCTCACAGAGCCCTGTGCTATGCCAGCTACTCATGAGCAGCCTCCAACTCATGACAGTTTAAAGGTAGCTCTGGTGTGCATAAGCTGCATTTCTACCAGGAGATCTAGACATAACCTGTACCATAGAGCCGGTGTCTTTGCCACAGCCTGCATATGCAATGTAGTGCTTTGCCTCTGAAACGCTGTCACGAGGGACCTTTTCTTCAGTGCTCAGCGATCAGAACACTTTCTTCTCAGTTGTATCAATTTTTTACTGAAATCACAGTTATAATAAAGTTCCCACTTCGAAGATCCTACATCTGCATGGTTAAATCTGGATTATTATGGTGGAGAACAAGGAATAATGCGTGAGAATAACCCAGATCTATACATTTCCATACAGGGTGTTAAATGCCAAGTATGCCTGATCTGAAAACATCCACATATCTTGAATTAAGTCATGGTATACTTTATGGAAAAAAGCCACCAATATCTTAATAATGAAAGATCATAGTTTATACTTCAATGGCTATTTCCTATCTAATAAAGTACACGTCTACACACATAGTAAAATCCCTGGCTTTGACACACATTATAATTCATCATGAAGTCACTTATTTTCACTTCTCTCTGCTATCAACTTACTAAAACAATTTCATGTTTCACACTAAGGCAGACAAATTTAAAGTAGAGTAATGACTGCACTGCTAATAACTGAATAATATCAAATTGGGAAAATGTATAAATATATATGTGACAAATTCCATTTCTAATTATGTTCCTACTTGGTTTTCTTTATACATCTTTATAGAGGAGGAAGCAGTTAATGACCTGCTATGCCACCTGGATATTCACAAGTCTATGGGGATGGATGGGATCCACCCGAGAGTACTGAGAGCACTGGCAGAGGAGCTGGCCAAACCGCTCTCCATCATTCATCAGCAGTCCTGGTCAACAGGGGAGGTCCCAGATGACTGGAGGGTTGCCAATGTGATGCCCATCTACAAGAAGGCCTGGAAGGAGGATCTGGGGAACTACAGGCCCATCAGCCTGACCTTGGTACCGGGCAAGGTTATGGAGCGGTTC